TCACAGTCCCGGTGATTAACCTTGTGTGAACTTTGAACTAATTAGGGTTTCACACTGCGTAGCTTGAGTGAAACAATATTGTTTTTGTTCGGATTATTATTAGGGTTTCACACTGAGTAGCCAGTGTGAAACACTATTGTTTTTGTTCGGATTATTATTCTTATTATTATTAGGGTTTCACACTGCGTAGCCAGTGTGAAACACTATTGTTTTTGTTCGGATTATTATCCAGTGTGAAACACTATTGTTTTTGTTCGGATTATTATTCTTATTATTATTCTTATTATTATTCTTCTTATTATTATTATTTTTCCATTTGAGCATATCTCAGAAACTACTTGTCGGATCGATTCGATGTCTTCGGTTTTACTGGGAAAGTGGGTTTGACTTAAATTTTAAAGCTATTTCCAACGTTCTGCGACAATGCGAAATGTCCGAAATCACCGAAGTTGTCGTTTTTTGATATTTTGCCATAATGTTATCAATAATTGTCGGATTCTAATATTTGATACATTTTGACATAGCCAGAGACAAGGCACATAGCTACAGTTCTTTACATTTTTTTTATATTCGACGAATCTTTGGAGATATTAGGCGCCAAATTTTGAAAATTTAAAATTTTAAGAAAAACTTTTTTATTAATGAATATTTTTATGTGGTATTTTACCTAGGGTTAAAGAGTCATCTGATTGACCAAAAATGGCAACATTTTTTGTCACCGTATTTTTCCTTGGCCCCCATTGGCTAATTCAGTTTTTCAGTCCTGGATTAATTATTTATTGTTCGATTTGTATAAAACAAAGTTCATATGCTCCGTGGTCCAAATGCTCCGTGGTCCAAAATGTCATTTTTTTTGTTACCGGTACATTTTCCTTTCGATAACGGAAGTGACGTAAATTTAGCAAAAACTGCAATTTTGACAGTTCGGTACCACTTTTTGAAAGCAAATATTATTTTTTTCAAATCTGGTATGACTGAAAGGGTTTGCCCTGTTAAGGCGCAGAAATCATCGCGCTCAGTTTTTTTAATTTTTATTTCGTTTTCGGATCATTTCGATTTTAAGGCGAAAAAAGGTGAAAAAAGGAGCTATTCACAACCCATTCAGGCTATTCATATTTCAATATATTTTTTCGAAACTTTTATAAACTAGTAGCAATAATCCATACGAAGAGAATGTATGTGAAAGTTAGCTTGTAATATGAGCAGTTGCCGAGAAATGGGCAATTTTGCATGAGTCACCCTTTACGCTAGTTTGCCTGTAAAAGAGTCAATTATTAATCGATTTTCATAAAAGTGACACCATTTGATGCGTAATGTCAATTTTAACAAGGTCAAACCAATTTAACATTTCCAATGTCACCGGAAATGACGTAATTTGGGCAAAAATTGTATTTATAGCCTTCAAAACCAGTATTTTATTTAAATGAGTCGTATTTGTTATTTGTTTAAAATTTTGATATTTGATTCCAATCAACTAATAGAATGAACCCATACGATCATATAGATATCACAAAATGGTTTCTAACCTTTTCAGTTGCCGAGAAACAGACGATTTTCAACAGGTAACTTTTCAATGTTTTTGGTCCATAAAAGTGTCAATTATTATTCGATTTTCATAAAACTTTCAGTATGTGATACCTAATACCATTTACGATTTCATACAAGTAATTTAAGATTTTCATTATCACCGGAAGTAACGTCATTTGGGCAAAAACTGTATTTTTAGCCTTCAAAACAGATATTTTATTCAAATGAGTCTGATTTTTAATATTCTTAAAATTATGATATTTGATTCCAATCAACAAATAGATTGAAACCATACGATCATACAGATACCAAAAAATGGTTTCTAACTAGTACGGTTGCAGACAAAAAGACGATTTTCTACAAGTCACTTTTCAAGGTTTTTGGTCTATAAAAGTGGCATTTATTATTCGATTTACATAAAATTTTCACCATGTGATGCCTTATGCCATTTCTGATTTCATAAATCTAATTGAACATTTTCAATATCACCAGAATTACTGTACACTTACTAACAAATGTATAAAATGAATTGATATTGCTGGATTTGGTTGATTCGGCGTCCATTGTATTTGATCTGTGCAATGCTTATGTGGAAACCTGCTTAATGGTTTCATTGGTACCGGAAGTGACATATGTTTAGGGTAACGTGGCACCGGTGAAACCCGTCATTACTGCATCGCAGTTCTAGTATTACATTATGATCGTTAGTAATAAATAAAATTGAATAAAATGATGTTTAACGTCTAGCTTTTCTGCTCCAGAGAGAGACAGGGACAAGGGAGGCAGATTAAGGGAGTGACAGGGAGGGTTTAGCACAATCTCTAGCTACGCCACTAACAAGACGTTAGAGAGAGGGGGAGGGGGGTAACGTCCCCTCGACACAAACTAGGTCATTTTGGGACTAACATATGGTTCAATTTTATTTCAATAATTCGCTTAGGGTCTTTATGGTCTTTAGAAGTGGGAGAAACCATAGGACCCGGTGAAAACCCACGTGGTTGGTCAGACGACCCTACTTCTTGTCACGTACAACTGAGGAATCGAAACCACGCCAATTGAATTCCAACTGTCAAGGGTTATTCCAAGATGTTCCCGGGGACCTCCGCATTTTGCACTGTCTAGACGCTTTTCCTTACCAAGCAGGTATTAAATACACCAAAATATAAAAGTTTTTGAAAAAAGAGCTACATTATTTGTCGATTGCAAGCACTTAGAGAGAGAGAAATGTGCTATGTAACAGATGGAACACAATGGATATTACTAAAACTACATAGTAAGAAGCTGGCTCGCTAGTCTGTAGGTCGCGTGTTTGCTCCCGGTGTTGGTCGAGAACGTTCATCTGGATTTTCCGGTGTGGTTTCCTCTTGTCAGTGGTACGGGATTGAGGGCCTGACAGGAATAGCTGTCTAGTCTTTCGGGTGGTACGAAAAACCAAGGTCCCGTATAATCATTGGAGTGCACGTAAAAGATTCCTTGGCAGTTGGAATTCGATATAAGAGTATCCCTTATACTGCCGCTGTCCGAGCAAGATTTTCCTCATAGCACACTGTATGGCGTCATTATCCCAGTCCAAGCAGAAGAGTAGGATGCTAAACCCCAATTCAATTTATATGTATATATCTTTCTATTTCATGCTCTAACTTGAGTCTAGTGATACCTGTTGTTGATCGTTAGCCAGATTTATTCAAATTAAAAGTACATGTACGCTATAAAAACTCCTAGAAACAGCACTACAGTACATCCATAGACACTGTTTATTTTTGGGACACAGAAAAAGAGGATGGAACCAATTCGATATTTCAAAGAAAGTATGTATTCGTCGAGAGACAATTCTAAGATTTCCTTATTCCCACAACCCACTACAATATCTCCTATCTCCTTTTATCATTACGCTTGCCTACATACAGCTTCGGATCCAGGTGGAGTCCATAGCCCCCCCCCCCCCCGCCCGCCCGCCCTAAATAATTGTATGAAAAATTCGCTTATCAATCTATTAGCTTTTTCTTGGTTTGGGTGGCTGATGACATTGACGATATTTTCGGATCAAGATATGCGCTACAGATGACCATTGACACCCGATTATTCAAAATGTTCTCGGAGGATCCCCGAGCCCCTCATCCTGCACACGTCAGTGCCTACATAATGGCGGCACCATAATTCCCGATTCTATATCAGACAATGGAGGTAATATTGTTATCATTATCGATTAAAGAACAAAGACTTTCCACTTGAACCTACAAAGGTGCTTTTTTACCCATGCGTAACGAAACATGATAGGTAAGTAATAAAATATTTACAAGGCTATATATGAAATGGATTGATAACGCCCGGGGACTGTTTGACAGTTTTACAAGCCGATTTATAAGGTCAATACGTTAGATACTCAAAAATGTTAAAATATACCGTCAAGACATCTGATAAGATTATATAAAGGCAGTTAGTTTCGCGTCACTTGTAATAACTTGTCAGGGTTGTAACAGTTGAGAGAGAGAGAGAGAGAGGGAGAGAGAGGGAGAGAGAGGGGGGGGGGGGGTAACTAAGTTCCTTTCGGGACTAGCATATCATTCAGTATTATTTCACGGAAGTAGCCAGACGACCCGGAGGAAACCCACGAGGTTGACCGGCGGTCCCACTTCTTGTCACATACAAGCTTCGGATTGAAACCAATGACAGACCTTGTGGTCTAAAGTGGACACACATTATCTATTATAGCAAATACTGCCAGCTCTTTATTTAAATCTGCGTCTTAAGTAAAATGGATCACGGTATTTTCCCTTTATTTTCTTTTATAATTAATATAAAGCAAATCGATCACAAATTATATTTACAATTAACAAATTAAACGATGTTGATCAAATAGAAATAATTCCTTTTAGTTCAGCATCAGTAAATCTGGTTTCATTGATCGATCTGTGACGATTAATCAATATATCGTCTATATAGAAACAAATATATTGATTAACTGGACAGTATATACATATCGATCTGATATATACCGTATCAATACTGAATCATTTGTTCCAGTCAATCAAAACACAGCTTGAATAAATGAAAAAACACTTTCGTTTTCTTTTCTATACGGAAGAGGGTAAACCTCTTACATTAATTTGATCAATCCTATATACAGTGTATATACATTTGTGTCAATCTGTATTAAACAGGAGCTTGGATAAGTTAATATGCCTTTCGTTTCGGCCCTAACATAACGTTCAAACGTGAACACCAAGAAGGTTATTGCCATGGGGCTATTATGGAACCATTCACCGTTTGTTTCTGACAGCTATATCTAACCCTAACCCTTGATCGCTACTCGTGTAATACAGTTTAAAATCAGTAGAGATCAATTTCTTTATAGCAGAACATTGCGGTCCAAAGATATGCAGCCTTCACAACCTCTACCAAATATTGTGTCCGTAACCCTTGATTTATTATTGCAGCATTTTCATTATAATCTATAATCAATAGATGCTTACCTTGTACGTCAGCCATTTTTGCACTCGAGATTTCCTGGTAACTCCGCTATCCCGAAATATTGGACACTACGATTTTAAAACAACAACTGCTAGGTAGATGATTATTTCAAATGTAATAACTCGTTTAACAGGTGTAATTGATAAGTCAGGCACTTGACTGTGTTGATATCGCTTCTCGTTTTCTACCAATCACCATGTGCCTTTATTTATATCCAGACGCAACTAAAATCTCAGCCCACCTACGCGCTATTTCAAATATAGTATTTTATATACAAATGTACATCTACACAAGGTAGTTCTAACTGTAAAATTAAAAATACAGTCAAATATTAGGGACTGGGATAACAGCGTGCTTCCACAAGACTATACTCGGCGCTATTTCAAATCCTATCGCTTTATAATATAGTATGGTGTATACGTCTGCACAATCTAGTTCCAATTTAAAAAAACAACAAAACAGTAACTGGAATAACAGTGTGTTTAGAAATACATTTTTTTCTAGAGACACAAAATAACCATTCTTCCTGCAAAAGTTTCAGAACAATAATGAAACTACTAAACGCCTCACCGCTTATCTCTCAAAAACGAATGGCCAAAACACATAAATTATTAACGGTTCGGAGATGTTTTGTTACTATCCTTAAACACATGTTACTCTAGGCAATATCGATCCATTTTATTAAATTTAATATTCATGAGATAGTTAGCCATTCAACCAATCCCAGTCCGCGTTGTATTGCACAGGCAGGCATATTGGATATGGCCGAATGGGAACGAAGATCGGTTTTTTAAAGATGCCCCCTCAGATATGTGTTCAATTGATATTGTAGGTGAAATGGTTTATCTTTGTCTTTCCCAAATATCTGAAACTCTGTGATTACTCTCCGAAGAACTACGAACTGTATCATTGACAAGAAGTCTGAAACATGCAATAGGAAATTAGCCAGACAGTCCATCATGGGGCTAGTCAGAAAGGGAGGACAAGACGGACATCCTACAGTCGTACCAATTGGGATCTATTAGCTGGGGTAACCTATTCTGAAGTGGTGACAGACGTTTGCTGACTGACCCACATTATCTCCAATCTCCGATCCCGAGAGGGTTTCATATCCTGAATTACCACTTAGGATCATGCACAGTAGGGTTTCGAAATAAACTTGTCACCGAGAAGAAAACCTTAATTTTCTTTTCCCGCATGTATCATGTCAAGAATGCCAATTTCACAGATAAATTGGAACAAACTTGGAACAAATTCAACTTTAGATCTTATGCCAAACTATCATGAGAAAAATTCTACAGCTTAAAATGATTTTCCCGTACTAATCATGGCGCTCGATAGAATCCGAGAAAATTGTATAGGAACATATACTTTTTCGTTAGGCCCGCCTTGATCCCTTTTCAATTTCTAAATGTTGTTTACTGTTAGGCCTATATACTTATAAAAGAGATTAATAAATTATCAGTCTTATGTTATCAGTATTTCGCCAGATGTCTAGATCCCGGCCTTTTGTTATTGATAAAGTCTAATGGTTACCAATAGTCACAGGTGTCAGAACTAATAAGAAAATAGTATATTGTGTGACCATATTGAATCTCTGATGAAACAATCAAATGTTTCCCATTCAAAGTAGTTAGTGAGACAACTGCTTCATACGGATTGAATGTGCCTGTAGGTAAAATATTTTGTCCTCATTTTTTTTTTAAAATAATGAATTATTTGATTAAAGCGATTAACAACCCCATTTCGAAGTCACGTTTTTGGGAGGTTTTTTTTTGGGGGGGGGGGGGGTGACATTCTGATTTGAAAAGCCTGACGTAAAGCTTTTGTGACTTGGATTTAAAAATATTTTTGAGCCCTCTGGACAAGTAAAATAGGATTTAATGGATAATTTACACAACAGATACGACACTAACACATCTAGTACTTAGAATAAGGCTATTTTTTATTTTCTGGAGCTGTCAAGCCAGCAAGAGTGTTATTGTCCCTTGAAGGGAGTAGCATTAATATCGAGATGGTCAACAAGGAATGACTTGAATAGAACATTGAAGTCTTGAACATAGAGGATTACTAGTCGAAGCCCATCTTTAAGAATAATGGAGTTGTCTACCTTCAATCAGAAATCCAATAATTTTATATTCTAGATTTTAGAAGGCAAAAATATATATGTTCATTTATAATTATTTATGTTCTGGACTAGAACTAGAAATATACATACCTTGCCTTCTCTTGTCTATGTTTTAAGAAAGAGACAACTCTTGGTCTAGACAACTCTCATTTTATTTACTTTCGTTTCGTTAGTCTTTTCATTAATTTTGACCCAACCGACGGTCAAGACGACATCTAGTGTCGGAAAAAAGAGGAAAGTATTTTTATTGGAGGAGAACTAGGATATTGTTTTTAGAGATTTAATTTCTTAAAAAGACTGTGGCCAACAAACAGTATGAAATCATCTAGACTAGGGTTATTTTAAGGTGGGTATGAAAATCTTTCTCTGTTTATGTTTACTATACAAGTCTAGAAATGGCATCAGTGTGAAAAATAGTATTTCTTGGAAAAAAAAAAAATTCCAACCTTCTTTTCGCTTTATTTAAAAGGGTTATTTCCCCTTAGTGCAGACGACGCTAATTTTAATAGTTGACAAGTTCATCAAATAAGTTGACAAGTTTAAAGGAGCTAAATCGCTAACATTTGGGACCCAGAAATTCACAAAAGTGGGTCGCAACGCATATAATACTGTAATATGAATGTATATAAACTGATTTACATTTAATGGTTTCCGTTTTTACTCCAATTTCAAATCAGTTATGTTCGGCGAAATAAGTCAGCAATCTCAATCGAGTGCAAATTTCTAGCGTCTAGTTATTCTAGTCTACATAACTCCATTTGATTTGGTGCAATGTGTCTAGCCTCGTCCCTCGAGTCTCTCAATACAACTGGGGCTGAAGCGCATTATGGTACACGATTCGTGTACCAATGTTAAAAAAATTATTTTATCTTAAATATCGGATATCAGAAGCTCATCTTTTCCCAGTAAGTTTACATCATCAATGTTGATTTAAATTGGCCAATAATTCGTGTTTTCGATGTCGAAGATTTTGGAGGATTTTGAGTTACGGACTTAGGTCCTTTAAGATTGTGGAATGATATATGGAGCACAAGACCCTGATCTCAATTTTATCTCTTGACTCAGTCTTACGTAATATTGTCACTTCAAGACCTTTTCCTAGTACCCGTAGCCGTACCAGGATTCACTGTTTGTCCATACAGTAGGCTATACAGTTTCCCACAGTATGAGTATGGAAGTCTAATAATAATAACTCTACTAGGATTATTTTAAGCACAAGATAAGAGACCCCAAAATAGGAAGTGGATATTCAACTTATTGGATTTGGTGTCTGACCGGTGCAGACTAAGGAGTAAGATCTGTCTTGAATTGGATTTTTTTCTGAACGCTTAGTGTTTTGATGTAAGTGAGAACTGGTAGCACTTATTCTACTCTAATAAAACGGGGTAGTGAGTGTTGAAATGCATTATGTGACTGAACATTTCCACTGGTAGTGGTAAGATTCTAAATCATTAGCATTTGGGAACCGTTTTAAAAGCAGAACGAAAGGGTTTTGTGGTAGGACTGAGCTTTTCCACTGGCACTGGTAAGATTATAAATCATTTTGGGAACTGTTTCTAAAGCTAAAGCCAAACAAAATGGTTTTGTAAATTTTTCTGGTTGACAATGAAGGTAGGTGTTGGACAAAGCTAGCTTCAAAATTGTATGCAGAAATGCTAAATGCGTTATTTCTTCTTGACTACTTATATTAATTGCGAATATGATTTGGTTTTGGAACAAGTTTTTTCAGTGAAAGTATGAGTCGTTTGACAATGAAGCTATTGTAAAGCAGGGTTGACTTACATGTATTTAATGGAAACAGTACTTGATGTAGAGGACATGGTTATTGTAAAGAATTTCTTTAAACACTCATGTTAACCGAGCTGCCTTTGTTGCTTATAATGTCAATACACTTACAGTGTACATGTATGTAGGATCTAGGACATGTAATGATGTAAGGTATATTATGGCAGTATTAATTAGACTGTGTATCAGATAACATTGTGTTGTACATTTACAATGCAAACTTTGTGACCTATGCACATGTATTGACGGTACATTTGTAATATTGAAGGGGAATAACCCGGAATATTTTGTTAAAAATTTTGTAACTAATTTTGGATTTATTTCAAGCATACCTGGATATCATGACTTAGAAATGTAAAAAAATGAAGATACACATGTATACATTGTAAATCATATAAAATTATATTATGTTACGGTTTATGAGATTTCAAGGAAAAAGAGATTTTAATTTCATTGTAACCTGTATTTAACATGCATTATGCAAGAGCTAAATTTGCTTATTGTTGTAGGTCTTTCTTTTGACCTTAAATGTTATATAAACTATTAGACATTTCTTAACATGATAAAATCATAATCAACTCTCGATGCTATTGGATGCATCCAATTTTAAGTTGATTAGAACGGTTCGGCCAATTAATGATTTGATTTAAAAATGGTGAAACAAGGCTAAGCCAGGAACAACCAGTATGATAGTTACAATTAGTGCACACTTGTCAAACCTTCAAAGGCTAATATCTTCGCTCAGAATAAAATAATTTGAATAAAATTTTCAATATACATTGTTCATTGTCCCTTTTTGAACTATTAATATTACAGTAAGGACGTCTGGCAGCTCTTTATCTAAATCTTACAATGCTTCTTTAATATGTAGTTTTAGAACCCCACTTTTTAAAATTATAATAACTTGTTAATCTATAGAGATTTGGAATGATTTCTAATAATTACTCCTAGAGTAGTGATTCTCAACCAGTGTGCCGCGAAATTTTGAACACCAAGAAAATGTGAAAAAACATGTGATCCCAATTGAATATTCACTGGTGCCTACAGATAAGTTCATAGCTGTGTTTTTCTTTATTTAGTTTGATTCATTCTATGTGTCTATGACTATATAGTCTCTGTGTACGGTTGTATTCCGTCTGACTTAAAATGTTTTTATTTTGCGAAATTCAGATATTTTTCATATATATTTAGCCAGGTGTGCCGCTATTTTGTCATGTGTTCTGCTATTTTTTCATTTGTTCCAAGGTGTGCCGCTGGCAAAAGAAAAGGTTGTGAACCACTGTCCTAGTGTAACATGTACCACCACTGATTTAAAGATATTTGGAATAATTTTCAATAATTACTGCTAGAGTCGCCACAAATGATTTAAAATGCTTTTGTTTGAAAAAGTGCAAAAGTCATCATTGGGTAGGCTATTTAGTCCCTCAGCAGATAACCATTTATTGTTTCAAGTCAAAAGATATGTGTACTGTACATGTATACATGTACTATACATACACAAAACAAACTGAACCAACAATTCTAATATAGGGCATGCTGTTAAATCCTTATATTAAAGAATATACATTGCCACAAAAATATTTGTCTGGTACATGTAGTTACTTCCAAAAATGTATGACATATTTGGTATACATGTACATGTATATAATGGAAAGTAGATGGAGCCTCAGGGATAGAACTTTATTTGAAAACACAAAAGCAAAATTTTGCTTGTTGATTTCAAATGTACAAGCAAAACTAGGATTCTAAAGAAATTCAAGGGGCAATTTTATCTTTAATGAAAATACTTTTATTATCTTTGGATTACATGTACAAGTTATGTTATACATTGGAGTGTACACATATTCCTTACAATTTCATTAAAAAGCTAATGGCTTATAAAACACAAGAATGAACACACAAAACTGCCCTCAACACTAGAGCTGGGCGATATCCCTGAAAACATTGCAATATTTTATAAAATGACAATACTTTCAGTTTATCAGGGGTTTTTTAAATGTAAATAAATATGCATAAAAAGTTGGAAATACCCCTGGAGTATTCACTTGACACTTTCTAGTCAATATTATTATTTCTAGTCAATATTATTTTTAGCATACAGTACTGAATTTGCAAACAAAATTTACAAACTTGCAAAAGTTGTTGTTTATTACAGTTTTAATTTTCAAAATATTAATTATAATATTTTATTTAAATTAAAAATATTTACATACTAGCAGGATTCCCGGCTTTGCCCGGGGGTCATAACTCCGAAACTGGAAGTGGTAGACTAACGCCACCTGGCCTATGTTACTCCCCGGTCCGAGCTACCCCTATACCCCAAATTTCAGACTCGGGGCAGACCTAGTGTAGCCGCCAACCCCGAACAGACCGGTTTTCTCGGGGGTCATAACTCCGAAACGGGAAGTGGTAGACTAACGCCACCTGGCCTATGTTACTGCCCGGTCCGAGCTACCCCTATACCCCAAATTTCAGACTCGGGCAGACCTAGTGTAGCTGCCAACCCCGAACAGACAGACAAACGACAGTCACAAATATATATATAGATATAATCTTTAAATGGCATTTAGTGATTGGGGTACACAATAACAGAACACAATTTTTATGGGAAACAATCACTGGTTTTATTCTAATAGCACGACGTTTCGACAAGTATTCTCTTATCGTTATCAAGCACAATATATAGATAGATGGCGGAGGCACAAAAAAACATAAAAAAAAGTTTGTGTTCTTTCGTCCGTGCATATTTATTTTTATAGCTACCCTTGAAAACTTGCTTTTTCTCACTCAAGTGTATACCTTCTTGAAGTTGCATTATATAATACAAGGATAGTAAATTAAACATAAGTACTATGTCAAAAAGTGCCCATTGATGTCAAATACTGAAATAGCAATTTTTCGGATCAAGGACCGCACGTCCGCTGAATGATAATCACTAATCAGTCTACCGGAACTCTCAAAATATATAGTTGGCAATGTTGGCATTATTTATATTTCTGCATTATTAAAATCTATTTCAATCTGAAAATCAATGATTCCTTTAGAAAATCAAAGTATCGGTATAAACAATTTGTCAAGATGTATTATCAGTATAGAAATTGAACAGAAACAGGGATAATGCTAACGGGTGGAAAAGTGAGCGAGAAGTCACGCGACGTAAACAAAGCTCCTTATCGGCATTTGCAACTTGTGGAATGAATACATGTACTCGGGAGTTTATAACAGTATTTATTCATCATTAAGCAATAAAATATCATAAAAAACATCAAAAGGAAAACATTTTTTCAATATTTTTGTTAAATATCATCCAGAAAAATCAAAACGGTACACGTGTCAGTGTTTTTTTACTATTAAAACTGTTTGTGTCGCGTGAAAGCCATTCACGAATAACATACATCTTTCACCGATGTCAGAATTTGTTTGATGGAATATAACGACAATAATGAAAGTACAGATGGTCAAACACCAAAAAAGGTCAATTATGATATGTGTGTATATTGTTTTATTTATTGAATAATCATATTCAGTAACAATAAGCGAAAAAATGTTACACACATTTTT